ATTGGATGGTGGAGGATTTAGTTTAAGTAACACAGAGAAAGTTTTCAAGCTTCTCGAAATACTTATATCGCAAATATTGGTTTTTCTTCTTTTTTCTTTTTAAATTTTTTTAAATTAAAGCTCAAAGTTCATTTTGAATTTAGAACTCAACAAATTTCCACTTTCTTGGGCACAGACAGAATAATTTAAATGTTCTAACGCCAGTGTCGTAATTTTTAGATGAGGAATTGACATTATTAGATGCTTTGATCTTCGGACCAACGTCTTGATGGTCATACGCGCAACGTTTCATCAGGTGTCCGTTTTCATACAGGTAACTCTTTTTTTTTTAAATATATGCTTTGATCCACAAGAGATACATAACTTAATGAATAAAATCTTCAGTTAAAACATATATAATTCCCTGGCATTTGCGAGTTCAATTCCTGGATTTGGTAGTTCTGGAAATAATATGTTTTGGTTCAGTAAATAAAAACGGACAGGCGATACAAACTTTAATAAGTCGAGTGAACATTAATCGATATGGAATATTCCCACATCATCCAAACTGGAATGAGAAAAATATAAACCCGTTGATTGAGTAAAGGAATCTGTTTGAAATTCAATGAAGGTTGCCGTATACGAAGAGAGAATAAAGTTGGTTCAAATAACATATAATTCATTATTTTCGTATCAAAAATGTTCCGATTCATTGAATTTAAATTGAAGTTAAATGTTGTTAACTACGATTAGACGTCTGTTTTTTTAATTAAACTGAAGTATAAAACCTTGGAAACTGGATGGTTTCGCTCTTCTCAATTCTAGAAATTGACTCTTCTATATAACGTATGCCTGTGGTTGTATGTAAAGAAGTAGTGTAGCTAGTACAATCATAGGAGATAACTGTTACAGTTTTTTGTGTATATGTATGTATTATGTAACTAGTGAGTTAGTCCAAATGCCGTGACTCGCTTTATAGTCTACGAATAGAAGGTTAACCAATCATTAGACGTGGAATATTCAACCCGTCGTGTATAAAGGCGGCCATTTTTGTTTACCCTACCCGAATGACCAGTGCCAACTTGTCAGGCGAAGATGACAGAAGGAAGTACTACCCTCTGCTACTTTGCTGCGATATCCACTGCTAACCTGAACTACGCTTTCCTACTGTCTCCGAAATATTCACTGCTAACCTCTGGATTCTATACTCGAAGACGACCGCCCTGAATTTATAACAATAACATCGTTTGACTGTAGCATGATAACCGAGATCAGAAAGTCGGGACACTTTACCTCGGAGGAATTGCTTTTAAGTTTTTCTCGTGTAAATACAGTTGCAAGAAGATGTGAGTTCGGGACATACATCAGCAGCCGTGAAAATTGCGTGCGTCCACATTTCATGCAAGGACAGAACCCACGTTTACTGACAACGATTAAAAATAATCAAGGCTGGTGTTTCTAAAAACATCAGTCAACGCCCAGAAAGCGTACACTGCATTCCATAGAAACCTGGAGCAACGTGACCTGGTCAGACGAGTGTTGCTTGCAGCTTTTTTCGAGCTGAAAACTGAAATCGTGTGTGAAGCACACTGCATGAGGCTATGGATTTTGACTGACAGCATGGTGCTGTGCAAGCTGGTTATTGCTTTATAATAGGTTGTGTTCTTTTGGAGTGCGCAAAGACCACTTATGAAAAAGGTGTCAGTCGTGATATGCACAGATCTTGTTGCAGATCATTAACGCACGCCATATTTCTTGGAGGTAGTCTTTGCTCTAGCAAGATAACGCATTAACACATCATGCGTAGATGACACGAATCTGAACCCAGGAATACTCAACCGACTTCCACGTACTCAACTAGGTCTTACGTTCGGCAGATTTAAACCCCATTGAGCATCTGTATGACATTGCAACGACACTACATCAAACACCACTCAATTATAGACAACTCTAGGACGTACCTGGATAGATATACCAACTCAACAAGACTCACCTCAAAGACTCAAGACCAAGTCATGCAATTGCCATTATTAAGACGAAGGTAGGGTCTAGACTTTATTAAGTTGATGACTCTTTTTCACACTTAATTTTATTATTTTATTCTGCTCTTTCACGGAATCGGTTTATTTAATTCCCCCATCTTTGTAAATATCTTGGAACAATCTGCCATGCTAATACTAAAGGTACTGCTACCTGGTGCCGTCAGTGTTAGAAGGGATAACTATGTTACATTAAAAAAATAATGACATTCAGGAAAAAAAACACTAAAAAATATTCGAGAAATTTCGTAGAAAATAGGTCCCTCCAACAGGAATCGAACCCATGACCCTAATAGGAATCACCATTTGATATGCTGTTAGCCATTCAGCCACAAAGAATCGTCTGGTTAGTAAAGTCCGAATTACTGTTTATAAGCAACAAATCTTCGACAATCTTTCCCGTACTATCATATCTGCTCACGAAACGTACCTTTACGCCAACATTGACAACATATTTTCTACGAAATCTCTTGAACGTTCAGGCCTGTAAGTGTAATTAATACTGTTTATTTAAAAATCAGAGCATTTACTTAAATAAATTGTATTTATTAAAATAATGTATAAACAGAAAATATATTAAATAATTGTTGGACTTAACACACACACACACACACACACACACACACACACACACACACACACATATATATATATATATATATATATATATATATATATATATATATATATATATATATATCGTTTGTTGTTACAAGTCTGAGTTTTATCAAACAGTGAGGAAAAAAAATCTATATTTATTATTCATAGTATAAACTATAGCTTTGTTATTTTACATTTAACACTTTTGTTACTACCAGCACTATTTGTGCAATATTTTATACTTATTCACACACACACACCAAAACACACACACACAAACACACATACATATATATATATATATATATATATATATATATATATATATATATATATATATATATATATATATATATTTAAAAACATTTTTAAATTATTTGGGATTATTCCTTTATCGTTAAGTACATATTTTACCTTAGTCAAATTCTATCGACACCGACGCAAATAGTTTTGTATGTAAATTATTTTACTTCTATTCATACTTTCCGTCACTTCGATGCTAATCAATCTCTCTCTCTCTCTCTCTCTCTCTCTCTCTCTATATATATATATATATATATATATATATATATATATATATATATGTCTGTCTGTCTTTTGCTCCCTTGCCGAGACCGGAAGGACATATGAACCTTCAATTTGATCTAATGTCAAATAAGTAAGTTCACATTCCATAAGCATCTACTTGTATCTTGAATTTCAATCTATCATAAGGATCATATCTGAATAAACAGAGTATCAATTATATATTTGGGTGTAAATTTAATTTATTCTTTCCTTTTCAATAAATGTTGACGCCCCTTAATACATCATAAATTTCCTTTCATATTCACCGCTTTCGTTGCATTTCGCAAACGAGAAGAAGAGTCACGATCCGTTCAGAACGGGAATTAAAACAACACCTTAAAATGCAGTCGCCCTAATTTCTAAAATACGCCCAGTCAACGTATACGTCACTCAAACACGAGAAGAAGGCGAAAAAAAAACGCAAAGGTAGTAAACAGGAAGATGGGGATTATTACATAAACGATTGCCCCAGGGAGGACAGCGGGGACCAAGTAACAAAGTGAGGTCACAAAAACTGATAATTAATCTAAAAAATTAAAATTCATACAATAAAACAGAGAAAACCATTAAAGAATTTTGAAAAAAAAAAATTTTTTTTCTTTATGAGACAGAAATGAAATTCTTTTTTTTCTTTATGAGACAGAAATGAAATTCTAATAAAGACGACGTTCTCTTAGAATTATCTGGTTGGAATTAAAGTTCTTGCGGTTTCTAAATAGATTTAATGTTTTATAAATTGCGAGAACTTTCCTTTCAAACAGATATTTGCTTTTACATTTTATAGGCATTTGCTATACGTTTTGTTTAACAGAGCATCCATTAAAGATTGAATTCACTATTAAACATTTAGCACTCTGCATAATTTATAAATATAACTTCCTATATATGGAATTCCATCAAAATATGGTGTTTTATATATTAGTTCTGTATATTTGAAAGCCCGGATCTCAATTTCAATCAAGGTTGTTTTAGGTGTTGTCATAGAAGGATATGACTACGCAAACAAGAAATTCAAATTTAATATTGGCATGACTAACATTTTGTATAGAATGTTGAAATGTAACAACTGTGAGGTTTGTCCAAATATAGTCACTCTTCAGAAGATGCTTATCTGTTCTTGTAATTTATCAAAAGTTCAGTCAAAATTCACCCGACACACAAAAATTCTTTAATATTGAGTTTAATTTGTTCTAGAAATTGGTAGAATATAAAAATGTTTAAATGATTTTGTTTTCCTAACAACACTTTTTTTTTTATCAATGAAACAACATAATGCAAACGAATAGGAAGGTTATGTACCGCCAATCGAATACAATTCGGTATAATGCTGTCATACTACAACAGTAGCCGGCAGAAGGTGGGTACAGTGTGCAACGGCCCCGGGTATCCGTATCGGGAGGGCATCCAATGAAAGAGTGAAATAAAAATATAGTTTATATTTAAATTGAATAAAGTGATTATTTTATGTTTCATCTGTTTTCACATATTTAAAATGGCTTCCTTTCTCACTTTTCTCAGTACGAGCGCAGCCAGCCCCTCCCCCCCTCCGCTTGAGTCTTAGGGACATACAATCAAAGAGTTGGCCCTGAGCATCACCGACCCTCTGCATGTTACTGTACAATAATTATTAGAAGTAATGGTCGGAAAATATGACAATGTTTGAAATGCTTCTTGAATTCCTGTGGAGATCTTGTTTTGCTCATATTGTCACTTGTTATTCTTGCTTTTGTCGAAATGACCATTTGGTCTAAATTCCGTTTGACGCCGAATTGTGTACATATGTCGACCTTTGATTACAGATACAGACACGTCACG